TTACATATACATTTATATTGCATTATATATATGTATAGGCATACAGGGTATCTTCATATTATGTCAGGCTCCAGACGGACAGTTTAGGAACTAAAGTAAAAACAGATTTTACGATAAGTACAGCAAGAAAGGCACAGTTTGCAACTGACGGAATGTTGAAGGAAATTGGCAACATAATGTTTAAGGTAGCTGACTAATCCGAGCACACGTATAATGGGTGTTAGGGCTTTTGGTGTCAAGGAACAGATTTGGTAATGCTTCGATATACTAATGCGTATACAGAAAGTTTATACAACAGAAGGTTTAGCAACTGCAGTATAAATATATATTAATCCGCTTATGCCGGTAAATAGCGTCTGTCGTATGCTGACGTTGATCCTGTGCTGGTGTCAATTCTACGCCAAGACAACGTTATACTGTGTCGACCCTATGAATGTAAGCCATTCAAATATGGAAAGTATTTCATTTACGTCCAGACGGCTGATAAGAGCTCCCTTGTTCCGGAAAAAATATCCTAACATATAATGTCATGTTAAATACCGAGTACCTCTTTCCCATTGGCTTTGTGTGTTGGTCCATCGCAGTCGAGGGAATAGATCGGGGAAGCGTCCGAGAGGTACGAAAGCTGCTGTTACACTGCTAGATATAAAAGTTGTTACAGAAGAAAGGAAAGCAAATAGCAGAATCACCTTTATTATCCGCATACATCAAAACGGGAAGAAGACATGATTGAGCATTCTGGTGGTTTAGGTTATGTAGCGTGCAGAATTCAGTATGCAAAACTACCATTTCTGGCAGCAACAACGGCTGTAATCCGGCTGGGTATTGAATCGAGCTGAACTTGGATGACAGATACAGGTATTTTATTCCATGCGGCTTCATTTCTATGCCAGAATTCATCAACTGTAATAGCTAGTGAATGGTGATGTCCGACATTCTTGACCCGATATTCTCAACGGGTGAAAGATCTGGAGAACGTTTCGAGCAGGGCTACAGTCAGACACAATCTGCATCGAGGAAAGTCAGGACATCACGAGCAACAAGAGGTTCTGAATTATCTTGTTGAAAGATGACATCACGCAGATCTCGAAGGTAGGGTCTAGCCAAGGGCCTTAGCGTCTCAGAAGTGTAACGGCACCTATCGACATTGCTGGTTATGCGAACAAGAGTTGACCGGGATGTGTACGCAGAGGCATCCGATACCAGACGTTTAAATAATTAAAAAAAGGTTTCAGTATTTAAAAAATAAGTTTAAATACTTAAAGAAAGTTTAAATATTTTTAAAATGTAATGTAAAATATCTCTTACTCTGTATTTCTTAGGTTCAATCGGTTGTAAGATATTTCTCTCGCCTTCTTAGCCTGCCTTCGTGGTGTAATGGTCAGCATACTCGGCGTGGCGCGTATTCTAGAGGTCCGTGGTTCGAGTCCCGGCGAGGGCATTGCTCAGCGTATTCTAGAGGTCCGTGGTTCGAGTCCCGGCGAGGGCATTGCTCATTTTTCATGTCTCAAGGAGTACGTATAATGTAAGATATAAAACACGATATCGGCATAGAAATATTACTGAATGAGATGTATGAGCGCTATTTTTTAATAAGTTCTCATGAACCTGGGAATACAAATTTGAATAAAGGGAGAAAAGCTTTAAAAATTATATACATAGTAATGTAACATCAAATTTAAAACAGTTGTCACATCCTTTTGTTTGAAGTCTTTATCATAGAAAGGTAACAGCTGGCCACTGAGCTAACATGTCACGTAATTTTACATCAGTAAACACAGACTTCTCATGCTCCTATTTTTATCATCATGTAATATGTTCGATACCTCTGGTATTATTTATCTCTACGGCTATCATTCATATAATTTATCATAGATATTACAAAATCTGCGATGAATGTCAGCTGTAGTTTGGCCTTCAGCTTGCATATATCCAATAATAAACTGATCTCGGACTTGTCTAATGCTTCGGTTACGTTAGACATCTTTACATGCATGTACCCAAATAGAAACGGATTAAGTGAATAGAGCTAGACATAATAAAATATGTATCGACTCTTTTGTATACATTAATTTTTTTCTTCATTCCCATGATTATTTCCAAGTTCTTTGGAACTTAATTTAAAATGTGCCCTCATTTACTATGCATCCACCCCTCTATCGTGTAAATGCATACTACTTTATATTTTCTAAGAAATTATGAGATTTTGTTGCGTAATTAATGATGATATTGTTCCAAGAAATGAAACATATGAAATGAAAAGCAGGAGACTTGCATGATTTGGAAATTTAATAGTAGTAGCTTTGCTATATAAGCCAAGAGATGGAACCAGTGCTTCTCCCTTATACCAATCTTAGTCCGATATTTAACCTATAGCGTCATTATGTTTATTTCGGGCAGCAAACAGAAGATATGTACAATGCTTTCTCCAGGATTCGACGACAGGACCTTCCGATGGTTAAATGGACGTATTTCCAATTACAGCACGAAGGCAGGCAGATAGGAGGAAGAAATACCTTACATTCTCCTTCAGTTAAAGGACGACTATGAAGGCAGGGACCCAAGCGTCAAATTCTGGTGGGGAAGAATTATCCTTCACAACATATTAGCTAAAGCGCCGCTGTAGAGTCATTATAATTTTTAGAAGGGAAAAACGAGAGAAATCAAGGATTTCCTTCCCGAAAATCAAACTCCGGACTTCCTGAGCCAGATATGATTCCAGTTGCACCACGAAAGCGTGCAGTAAGGAGTTGAGAAAATAACTTACAAACTTGTCAGATAATAAATGGGCTTGGTTATTCATCATTACTTGTATCAATAAAGAAGAGAAAAATTGCGTGTATGTGCCATGATCAAAAGAATAGTCTAGTCTTACATGAATTGGCGATCTAAAGTTGTGTAGCCACGATTTTCGTGAAACAGGAACAACAGAGTCATTGGAAATGCAGAACTGCCGCTTCAAAATGGCTACGATAAGATGTTACTCAAACTACCTTGGAATGTGAGCATGAGAAAGAGGCTTTCTTATTCCGTATCATTGAGCTAAATAAGATACGGGTTAAAACTGAACCATTAATCGCATAAGGGAGATCATTACGAGTCCTAACGAAAATAAAATGTTCTTTAAAAATCCAGCGATTCGAAGGTTATGCTGATTCACATGTACGATTGTGATGCCTTATCCGGATTCCCATATCCAAAGACAGACAATCAGTATCCACTATTACTATTCGTTTTTGAAACTTAACCTATGATCAGCAATGCAGAATGTTTCTACAGAAACCTTCCATGATTTTACAGGCTAACTGTGCGTTCATGTACGCAAACTGTGGATTGTTTCTTTGCTGGATGGGACTCAGAAGTACTCTTTGATACATCATACTTTCCTTACTGAAACCCATGATACTCTTATTTGATCCCTGGTTTCGTTCCTGAACTGTTCTCGAGATCATTCGGGCAATAGACTGCTCCACGTAACCTATCAACACAACAGTTGTCGCTGAAGGTATATTATGACTTCCACATCTCTGAAAATAAATTATACACAACACTGGTGACAACGTAAGCAAAGTTTCATCGCGATATCTCTTTTGAGACAGACATAAATAAATAGTTGCCATTCTTAAAATTTGATCCATTGTATAATATTGTTATTGGACTCAAGTGATATATATTTCATACCAAGGAAAATAACATGGATAATAAAACCATGGAAGTCCTATGCAGCATCACGGAGCAACAACAGAAAATGCATCCTTTCACTTCATTGATAACAGACCTTAAAATATCAGAAGGCGAGAATGTGCTCTTCGAGCTCTAGAGTACTGCATGCTACCCACAAGACCCTTCAGATGAGCTGCAGAAATATTTTTCCACTCTTCCTGCAAGGCAGTTTGAAATTCCTTCACGTTTTGAATAATCGTGTCCTTTATGTCGTCTCTATTTATCGAAAACTTCTCAGAGATGTTAGAGAGAATACTGAATTCCAGAGAATATGTAAGATACGCTGTGCAGGCTTAAAAGACGTATATGATTCAGAAGTATCTCTGTACAATACTATTTTACTGTGAGGAACTTTCATGCAGCAGTATAGTGGAGTTATGCATGATCCCTGCGCTAAATCATAACAGCGCAGTCATTTTCATGAATTTATTGGACATATACTTAGTGGTAATGGTTCTCCAATCTTGTCACACCTTTTGATAACCAGAATCTCTCTTAACAGTAAACTGAAATTTATCTGAGAACATCACCATCGATTACGCCTGATAGCCCCAGTAACAGTGCCCGAACAGCAATACAATCTAATATCATAAAAAGGCGCAAGGATAACCGTTTCGTCAGCATTATTTAATTGCTTTAATTTACTGTAGTTGAAAATCTGCATAAAATTTAGTGAAAACTTATACGAAACTGAAGGCTAGACCGGAAAGTGGTTAATGACCCTGACTGCTGTACCGACGGTTTCGGGTTAGAATCCCGGAGAAAGCATGGATGTAATTTGTCCGTTCCTTCGTAGAAGGAAACGATGGCCCATCTATTAGGTGCCTCCTTAATAAAGAGAACACCGCTTCCGGCCTTAGTAGTGGCCAACAGATATAAACGGTTAATGGAAAAAATATACAAAACTTGCAAATGACTGAACTCATTTCTTAATGAGTATGATTCTTTTCGATTCTCGGTTTGCAGAATTAAATTTATAATCTGAAGGATCCTAAAAAGGCCATTATAATTGTTGTTAAACTGAATTTATTGAGTTCTTTGAGTCTGAAACCAACAGCTTTAGTTTTCGAAATCGTACTTATGTGTCCTATAGTACATTTGAAAATACAATATACTAGGTATACATATGAAAAACGAGTTTGAATTGCAAGAAGATTTCACTTAAAATTTCATTAAGAAATATTTTCGTCGATATGTGATTGCAATAACTTTTAATTAATAAACTGAAATTTCTAGCAAAAGACAAAGATAAAATGCAAAATCATTTCGGTACTTGCCTATATATCTGTGAATAACGATGAACAGTTTTATTGGGTAAAACACCTATCAAATCCCAAAAGTTACGTGATCTGGGCATACCACAGTATTCTCTATATTTATTGTAGCCAGGGACTCCATGTTCTCTGGCTCGCTGAACGTTCATGGCTGCTAAATCCATACCAAATCCATCCCCTGGCTTCTCAAACAAATGATTAGTTACCTGATAAAATAAAAATAATGGAATATCATATGTAATAAATATTTGATGGATAAAACATATGCTTACATATTTAACTCTTTGTCTTTAAAAAGAAAATGGTAGCAAAGTATCATATCGTGCTTTAATAGTCATTCATATTTAATACGAACCGCTGACAATATTTTTTTTTTTTTTTTGCTGGCTTCTTAAGTTTTAATTACGTTAACATAAAAATGTTAACGTAATTAAAACAGTGCATGTGCGGTAAGGTTGCGCAAGTTGTACAACGGCTTAAGTCCTAGCTTTTAAATATTAGGCGTAATATCACGCCAACTCCGCCTCTTCCGGCAGAGCGGCAACCCTCTAATCAACCATACTGCTTCACACCGTGTTCTTCTCCTTGTAATATTTATGAGGGAGACCGCGAAGGGAATATGATTTAGTGTTTAAAATGCAAAGTGTGGATACATGACTTATGTGCTGGAGTTAACAAGAAAATCAATAATATCTTTGTGATCATTGTTGTAATTAACTTATAAGGTATTTCTCCCATTTTCCTAGCGTGCCTTCGTGGTGTAGTGGTTCTGCACGCTGGGCCGGTATTCCAGAGGTCCGAGGTACGATTCCCGGCGAAGGCGTTTGCTAATTTTTCATCTCTCCGGCTCTTCCAATTAACCTAATGTCTCTACAAACTGTATAAATAAATTACTTGAGAAAAAGAGAGTTTTATTGTAATTGTACAATTTGAAACGTAATATGACTTAAGCTATAGGTGATACGACTTGGAATACTGGACATCCAAGTCGTGCTAAGCTTGTGATCATCCAAGAAAGTAGACTGTACGGAATTTTATTGTAATAAATATCAGCAATGACAACACAAAATATTATTAGGATTATAAGTTCAAAAAAAGATGTGATAGCATTAGTGACTTTGATCAAAGCATTTCAGTGAGGTTCTAACACCTGACTGTTCAATCATTTATCTGATTTTCAACCCAGCAGAGGTTTTGTAATGATAGTTTATCATTAGAAAATTTTTAGCGCCTCTATTCGGTTGCTGAGCAACAACCAAGGAAATAAATCAAAATGTTTTTACTCTCGAAATCGCTGTAGTCAAGAGATTATTTATGGTAATAAGCTACGTTGCGAGCTTATGTCAACTACCATGTACAGAAAAAAACTTTTTAAGGATTTAAATTTTGTCGCTGTGTTCTTAATTTGTAAATCAAAGCATGAGAACATCTGTACTCGTCACTTATCGTACAATTTTCAACATTTCATATTTTTACCCGATTTTATATTTTCAAGTGACATTTTATATTTTACCCGAACTACACACCATTTTCTTAGTTTTTTATTTAGATCAAAATTTGATTTGTCCGGTAAAGCGAGGAAATGTCGTTTGTTTCGTTTGCGACGCTAATGTTTCAGAACACATTATTTGGAATACTTCGGCGCATAGCACAAGAAGTCAAAGAGTTAGAGTAGAGATTTGAGAACAATTTCTTATTATAATCATGCCACGAGATTCATGAAGTAAGCTCACATTTTAAGTCACATCATGGAACTTATAGAAAAATTCTACACTAAACAGTCAAACGAAACAACAGGAAATTCCAAAAAGGAATGAAGGAAATTCAGAAAGGGTAGTACAAAAATAGCCAACGTGGTCTACATGTTATTTTCCTGCTTTTTGGTGATCTGTGTATGGCTATCATCTATAAAATTTCAAGAATGGATTGAAATGTTTGGATTAGGGCAATTTGTCTAAGGGAAGAAACTCCTTCTTGGATGACTTTCTGAAAGGAAGATGGCTCGAATTCAAGCTAGAGGTTGCAAAACCCCCGAAAATACCCATCTTTGCTGGATCATCGGGATTTGATCCCTGGTCTAACTATCAGCGCTTAGCGGTCTTTCTATTTGGCCACTAACGAGCATCTAAAATTTCAGATTCATCACTTAAAGAAAATAAAATATTGTAAAGCTTCATTTCCCAACTTCAAATCTGGTATTGATAAACGAAAAATTAGAATATCCTTATAGATTACGTTTGTGGAACTATATTTTTAGACTATAAAATTAAATATTCAAAGATTACATGTACTTATATTCCGACATCATTCTGCCTACTAACTGACGATAGCGAGAGAGTGAGTAGACAGATTTTTATACGTTTCATGTTTACCTGAAAACAACAATTAATGACTAGAATAGTCATATACATCTAGTCACTAAACAAATGGTGTATATGACTAGAAATCAGACGTGTTGTATACGGTGACAAAGACTTTTTGCCCTTTTTTAGATTTTCGCCGCTTCCTAATAGGCGGCATGGTTTTCCCCATGTGTAACGTGTATACGAGCCAGTTTCTCTTAGAAAGTCCTCCACGAAGGCATCCCGCCCCTTAGGCAGATAGCCCTCGAGGCTTTGCCGTAATCACACACGCACACACACCTAATAGGCGGCCACTGTTTCCTCTTGTGTAGGGACAAACAATTTACATCCATGCCTTCTCCGGGATTTGAACCTAGGACCTTTGATATCGCAGTCGGCTTCCCTAACCACTATACCCTATGGGCGGCGGAGATGCAAACTTTGTACCTCAGCCCTCTGGGGTCAGCCGAAAACATCGTGGACGAAAACTTTGGTGAGAAAACGACGCAAGGAGAAAAAGTCGTACCATCGTTGAAAGAAAGAGGGCATGGAGAAACATCGCTGTTCTGAAAGATAGTGGTAGAAAATAAAGCGCTGCAAAATCTTCGCAGTTTTAAAATCTCTTCGTAAAAACTATTGTGGTAAAAAGTAAAGCACCTGCAAATCGACGATAACATAGCAGACATGCGTTTTCCGAGTTGAAACACTTTTAAGTGAATTTTCGCGTAATGATTTGTGAATACAAGAAGAAATAAACACTATTTTTTCCTCTATATTTGATATTTTTTAATAACTAGAAAAATTTCACTGAAAAAGCAAGAAGGACTAATGCTACGTATAGCAGTTAATAGAAGATTAAGAATAGGATGATACACAAAATTCTGTATAATATTTTATTTCTTCCTGTTTTCAATCTTTTCAATGCTACATTTTAAATTACAAAATAATAAAAATCTATAAAAATTCTACGCATTACCATAAAGACTGATTACCGTTCCAAAGAAGAACGATTAGGTTAGATTCGGTTGTGGAAAACAAAGGATTTTTAGAACAAGGAATTTTAAAACATTCAACGTGTTCTTTCCCGGAAAGGAAGCGATATCATCAAAAGAGATGAGCTATGAAAGTATCTATGAGCTTGCCATTTTACTACAAGAGCACCGGGAAGGAACGCCTCGATTGTACATTACCTCCAAGCAAAGTTGGGATGACCCCAACGCAAGTCGGTGACGAATCATCATTCTTCATTTTACTTTGAGCGTCATCAGTGCAGAACAAGGGGGTCGGGAAGCGAAGAATTTTGAAATGTTCACTGTGCCTTTACCACCTTGAATGTTATAATAATTAGCTGAAGTCGGTGGTTTTCCACGCAAATGGATCGGCGCTCGAATCCCGAGTAAAATATGAACATTCGTAGCTATCGTTTTAACTACATGAGAAGAATTTAAAATCTGTCAGAAAGACGTCCGCTCAGAAGGGTTTTGGTAGGAAATAGGATGTACTGCATTTTCAGATTCCCTCTTTCATGACTCTCACGATCAAAACTGCTAGTGGAGCATTGATAGATAACCCTTGTGTATTTTTCCTAAATTAAACTGTGCAATTCATTTTACAGAACCAAACATAACTCTTTCAAATTCATATCTGAATGTGCTGATTAAAGGCGTAAGGATTCATAGAAGGAATTTCTTATAATAGGCTGTTTAACATAGCTAACCATTACAGCTTTATGAAAAGTGTCTTTTTAGACCTTTTTAAGGGAGATAGTATGTCGAGTACACATAGAGAAAATCACTCAAACCCTTTCCGGCCAACTTGTTTCTGGGAGCCGAACCCGGTAACGAATTAACAGAGCTTAATGATTTTATACACTCAACCATTCATGGGCCAAAATATATTGTTTATACTGATTGCGTGATTTTCTATGAAAAAGTATGCATTGAAAGACAACTGTAATACATAGTTAGTTAAGTAATTAAAGGACTGAATTATTTCTGAATCGCGAAAGGTTAGTGTATCACAGAAAAATACACAAGGGAAATCTGTCTTGTGGTGAAGATTCTTGGAAAAGTTCCTAAAGGGATTTGAACCACTATCTTATTGTGCACAAAATTTACCATAAGTATTTTTTTCAAATCGTGCAATTAAGCTTCCAGGTTAAATGAGCCCATAGAAGGAGAAGTTATTCAGAACCATGAGGAGTGAAGAAATTAGCATTTTCCCCAACCGTTTAATCACAAGACAGGTAACCTTGCATTCAAAATTTTTCTTGAAAACTATGAATGAAACCACTCATCTAGAAACAAACAATACTAAAAATATTAGCTGCAAATATTCTGTGGATGATCAGAGAAACAAAGGGAAAAGAAATATTGAATATGGAGTTTTTGGTCGCGAATGGCATATTTTCTGACAGATTTGATCGCCAGGGGCGAAAATACCGAAGAAATTAAAAAAATTCGTGAAATCTTCAAAACAGCTGTGCATTGTCAAATCTTGTAAATATGTATATATTTATTTTCCTATGCACATTGATTTATCAATATTTTACAATATTATGCAATCTAAATAGGCAAAAAATATTTCCAGTTTTCTGTGTATTGCTATATATCCAGTAATTTCAGTGTCTAATCGTACTCGCTTAATCAATTTTCAAACAAAAGCAAAATCTGCACTTACTAGAACTTTAACCGTATTTGGAAGGGGGGAGATTCTATACCTTCAAAATGAAACTATAAAATTAATAGCTCAGTTCCTATAGATGCAACAAAAACTAAGAAACAAAAAGGAAATAAAGATTTAGTCACCATAAACGAACTTGTTTTCGGATTTCGCTGCGAAAAACATGAAAAATGTATAAAATA